TAGAAGAATGTCGAAACCACCTACAAAATTGTTTGGATCGTTTAAGAAAATACGATCTTCACTTGAACAAAGAGATGTGCGAATTTTTCAAAAATTAAATCAAACATCTTGGATACACCATTAGAAAAAATCAAATGTTTGGGGAAAATCAGATTTATTGTGGAAATGTCATTTCCAACAAACTGATGACGTTCGTTGCTTCCTTGGACTAATAACATTTTACTCTCCTTTCATTCCAGATTGTTCGACATTAACTTACCCACTGCTGAAATTCTCCAAAAATATTCAAGATTTTACTGGTCGCCACAATGTGAAACCGCACCTTCCAACCCTCAACTCCCAACAATCATCACATGTGATGCTAGCCCCACCGGGATCGCCGCTGTGCCCTTGCATCAAATCGGAAGCAAAATAAAAACCAGTTGCCTTTGCCTCACGTTCGCTGACCCTAGCGGAGAGAAATTATAGTCAGCTAGATAGAGAGGCTCTACCTAGTTCGACGCCGAAAAGGAAGCAGCAATCCCTAGAAGAACACAAACTTCTACCATTCCTTGATTACCCTAATCATAGAACGCCAGCTTGTGAAGCTCAATAACCCAAGGAAGGACAACAAGATGGCAATCCAATTGAATTGAGATGCTTGGATTGACCTCCTCAACTGCCTCGACACCTCCGAGATTATGTATTGCACATTTCCCCAGATTAGGTTTAAATTATGTATTCTATGCTTCAAACTTTAGATTAGACTATATGTAAATTAGGAATATCTTAATTTTTTCAATTTTGAAGTTATTTACTTTCTCCTACTTTTTAAATTCAGAACTGATTAATTTTTTTGTGGGGGAGAATTGTTATAAATTGTCATATGATTGTTTAGGTAACCTCACACTTGGGTTATAACTATGCACCATTGTTCTATGTGATCTTCAATAAAGTTGTTATTGTGTTCATGTGTTGTTGCCTTGTTTTACAAATCTCTGTCCTGTTGTGACTAGTAGAGTTACAACAGTAACATTTTAGAAAATTAAATTACTGAATAATTCGAGAAATTTTCTTTCCCTCTGTGAAATCAAATTATCCACTTATAAGTAGTGTGATGACTTGGGAGCTATTAATGCTGTATTGTGAAAAGCTCATAGCTATTTTTGTAAATTTAACAAGAAAAAAATAACAGTTTAAATACATGTATGTGATAGAGATTTAATTCCTATAATTTTTGCTATGTGATACAATCCTCGCCTATTCATTGATTTAATAGAAGTATTTTCCATCTACCATTCCATTCAATAGCTCACTATCTTCTAGGAAAACTACTAAATTATCTGGAAGAGGTTCAAAATGGAATACTTAATTTCTTTTTTAAAGCACAAACAGTACTATTGCAAAGAAATTAGACAGCCTTAAAACAGAAATAATCCATAAGGACACAAAATGTATAATATGAATATGGGTGATAAATATTCAGAATGCAGTCTTTTTTAATTTTTTTTATTTTTGCCAACGTTTCAACCCAAACATGTGGGTCATCTTCAGGGCGTGGTTTGAGCACTGGGGTGTTCAAGTACTCAACTCAGGGTGTTCAATGGGGAATACTTGAACACCTTCAGTGCTCAAACCAAGCCCTGAAGATGACCCACATGTTTGGGTTGAAACGTTGGCAAAAATAAAAAATTTTAAAAAAGACTGCGTCCTGAATATTTATCACCCATGATATGTAGAACAGTCGACTAAATTCCTTCTATAATATGAATAATAAAAAAAAAAAAAAAAGTGTTAGAATACAGATTATTTAAAATTAGCAAGAAAAAAAAAGGAGTTTTTAAGTTGAGATTTGTTATGGAATAAGTTAAGATTCTCTGTTTGTCGTTTAAAAAAAATATATAAAAAGTGATTTGATATTGTTACTCTAATCTACCTGTACTAATAATTACAGAAAAAAATACAGTAATTTATTATTAGCTTTGATTTTTTTTTTTCTAAAACCTGTGATGTAAATTAAATACAAAAATACACTTTTATCATATTAAGTCATAGTAATGTACATGTGTTTTTACTCAGCTTTCAATCAAGGACCAACTAAATGTTCTTTATACTAATATTTATGTTTTCATGAAAATAATTTGAGATATTGTAAGATTTATTATTATTATTTTTTTTTTTTAAATGTCAATTTACGATAATGAATTATTACTTTAAATTTGTATTTATGTCTTCTGATTGGAAGATTATCATTTGTGTGATTACGACTATTTGGGAAATAAAATATCCTATCTCTAGTATCTTTCATTTCTGCAAAAAAAAAGCTCTACCCTACAAAAGTAGGTTCTTTGTTGAATTTCCAAATGCTTTGCCATTGCTTCTGAATAGAGCTTACATTACCAACTGGACATCAAGAGGAATTAACAGTAATAGCTCTTTATTATAAATTAACATTTCTAAAAAAAAGTGAAATCCTACATCTTCTTAATTATTTTCATTAAAACGTAAATATTAGAATAAAGAACATTTATTTGGTCATTTAATACTCCAAGAATCAATTCTCTTGATAGCGTTTGGTGTAAAAAAAGTGTGTGCATGCACGAGTTAAGATGATAAATTTTGCAAAAAAATAATTTTTTAACATTTTATTTATAAATAAAAAGTTTATTTTTGTGTTGAATTTACTAGGATGATAATAATAATAATAATAGAAGGCTCAGCAAACTGGAAGGTTCAATTCCGACACTACCAATCTCTGTCTATACACCTCCCTCCCCCAGTCGCTGTCCAAACACAACCCTGCCAGATCAGCCTCAATGCGATTTCTTCACCTTCGTCTCGGTCTCCCCCTCGGTTGTTTACCAGTCAGCTCAGCAAATATTAACTTTTGTTACTAATCCCAACAATTTTACACTCTCATTTTATTTGCCACAATGTAATCACCTCAATTATATTAATCTGTCTGAATTCTTTGGTTGACTCACCCTTCTCCAGTCCGAATATTATATGCAATACTTTATTTTCAAAAACTCTAAGAAGCTGCTCATCCCTTAATGTAAGCGGCCACATTTTGTATTCCATAAATAACCGTAGGTGGGATGATCGTTTTGTAAATTCTAATTTTTAAGTTTCAGGAGATGAGGTGAGAGCTAAGTAGTTTTGTCACAGAAATTTTTTTTATTTTTTAACATCTATTATTTAATCCACACCTGTCAGAGCCTGCAACAATAAGCAGATGTGATCTTTATTGGTATGTCTAGAATGAGGGAGGTTGTTACCCATCGGCACCTACTCCTAACTTGATTTAAAATAAAAAGTTAATCCAGAAGATCCCTTAACCACCTCCTTTTCAGCCTTTGTCGGGCGTTTTCCGGTATATGTCTTGTGGCCATCTTTTATACAAGTATGTTGGTATGTACATGCAGTTTGGCATAGAATTTTTTACATGATGTCCAAATGTGATCTTATACCATTGGTATGTGTAAATCTGTATGTAATGTTTTGTTATTGACATACCAGGGTAAGTGCGTGATGAGTCTTAAAGTTTTTGATTGGAAAGTCTGTATTTTTTGAATTTGAGACTTTTTTGCTATTCTGGAGATTTTTGATGCATAAGTCCATGTGTAAGTGTAGGCGTAAGTAAGTGTAAGCGTTTAGTTTTTCTCTAATTTTTTGAGTAGTTCGTTTGTGTAAGAGAGAATACAGAAACCTTAGTCCAGTTCCAAACTGACTCTTGCAGACTAGTAAGGGGCCTGGTGACCAGGAAGAGAGAAGAGGAACACTAGAATGCAGCAAGTACCTAGCAATTATTTTTCAGCCACCACCCACCTAATCCACCTCAACTTCAATAATTATAATATGCAAATCAAATTAATTAACAGACTAAATAATATTGTAATAGTTTTGGGCCTCAATAATTCACATTGTAATATATCTCAAAATATAGAAATCATAGTTTACTTATAATCAAATCCTTTAGTAGTACATAGCAGTTAAATAAAAATCAGTTCTCTACAGCACAATTATTAGATCAATATCCCTGACAGCCATGGAAGGGATTGGCTTAATAAATTGAACAATATCAAATCTCATATTTTTGTTTCCATGACTATTGGGTAGTCTCAATTTATTTTCAGATTAATTAATATGAACATAAAGCCTATTAAACAAGAAAATTTTCCAATGATGGAATTACTATATTCGAGTTTGAGTGTGATGAAAAAAAAATTGTGAATAATCAACGATTTTATGAAAAAAGGACTTAGCCTAGTTTAACCATTTAAAAGTTCCATTTAAATGCTTTTAAAAAAGACAAAATTTACTTACATTTAACTTTACTATGAACCTATAGTTAATTGTCTCAATTACATATTTTTTTAGTTATCATTTCCTATTCAACAAAAAATGTACTACTTAAAAAAACACAAAAATTAAATTTTATGCTTTTCTACAGAAAATTAGACCATTGTTTATTTATGATTTTTTGTGGCTCTTGAGGTATGTTTAACCTCTTTAGATACTTCTCTTTACTTATGGGCACCCGTTACATATAACAAATTTTATTATTAATTCAACAATGCACAAAAATGTCTTATTGTCAACTTATGACATCTACACACATATTAGATAAATTTTTAATGTATAGTATTATTATATTGCCCCTCGGCTATTGAAATCTTGCTATGAAATTTGAGTATACCTTCCTATTTTCTCATATAATTAGGGTTAAAGAAAAAAGTTAATAATCCAGGTTGTAGTTTTTTTGTTATAAAGTAATCAAATTGCTGGACAGAGATTATTGCAAATCGTAAAAGCATGAAGAATTAAGTAAAGCTAAGTAGTCATAAAACTGAAAATAAAATTTATGATTCAAATTTTATATAATAAACAAAAAAGTAAATATCTCTTCAAGAAAGAAGTCTATTTTTGTATGATGAAATTGAATAAAATTTTGTAACCTCATATATATTTTGTGGAAGATGAGTATGTTATTAGTCAACTTTAAAAATATTTCTTTTTAGTTAAGAAAAATTGTTATGAAGTGGTGGAATATATATGAAAATAATAAAAAAATAAGTTTGAACGATCTGGCCATGATTTTATTACATAGTGCTGGAATCAAACATAAAACTTTTGATATGACTATTTTGCGGGATGGATTTTTCAAGAGAAACATTTTTTCTAAGGTAAGTTATAAGTCGTCTATATATAAAGATTTCATATGCTACATATTTCATATATTTTTAATTATATTAAAAATTTGTAAGTACTATTTAGTATCTAGTTTCCTTGTACTTAATTTATTTATAATATCTTAATAGTTAAAGTATATTATGATTGTAGGTCATTTTAGTAGTTTAAAAATTGTCTTTAAACTTATTTTTTTAAATTTAGGACATAGATATGGTACCAATAAAGTCGTGAAATATTGTTGTATATTTATTAATACTGAACCTCAGTATCAAATATATATTACAATATTTAACAGCTGAGCAAATATAAGTCAATACGTTTAATATAGGTAGGTACATATGGAGGTCTGGGTGAGGAATATTTGTGAGTAAAAAATATTGTCAACCTATCATTCATCTTATTTCATACTTCAGTTTTATTAATTTTTTTTATGCTAACTTAAAATCACTAATGTTATGTCTTGCATACCTACGATTGATATGCTTATAAAGGCATTGGGCATGTCAGTACTATTCCTGTTGACACCTAATCCCTTTTTCCATCAACACTAGAACCGCTTTATTCCTTTATATGTCAAGCAATGTTATGCTTACTTCTGGCTGCATTTCGAGTCTTTTTATTATGTACCTCTCCAGCAAATAAATAGTTTAAATCGAAATCTAACTTATCGACAATTTTATTGTCACATTGTTTCAGCTTTTAGCTGTAATATATTTTCCGTGATCTCTTTTCATTTAAACTTTCACTTATTAAAATTGTTGTTATATTTATATTTACGTACATGCAAGGAATCCTTCTCAGTCTGGCCAGAGATGCCTTTGTGTGTACATCGCTGTAATTCGCTCATATTATCAATTCAGTTTACTTTAATTTAATTTTTATTTCAACTTTTTTCTCACTTTTTTTTCAAAACAGTATTAATATTCACACTCCTTAACCGACTCCTCTCAGAAATCCTGTTCAATACGCCACGATGATCAATAAGAGCTCAACTATCCGGTTGTGGAATGCGAATTGCTTACAGGATCATTGAGACGAACTTGACATATTCCTTCATATAAATCTCATGAACGTTGCCTTAGTGACTGAAACGCCTGTTATATCACATACCTACTTTCACATACGAGACTACGTCACATACAGAACAGATCACCGAGACAATACATCCCATGTAGGCTCTTATATCCTTATTCACAAATCCTTATCTTATTCTCCTTACCTGATCCCTTCTACTCCAACACTGGTTATTATGCACAGTAGTAAAACTTTATAAATATACACATTTAAAAAAAAAATACATTAGGCTTTTCTTTAAAATAAATTCTGTTTTTCTGCTAAGAAAAAAGGAAGCCGAATCTGACAATATAAAATGCTTGAGTATTTAAATGATGAATAATATGTGAATAGATCATGATCATTTCTTGACGTTACTACAGATTCAAATTTAATTGTATACAAATAAAAAATATAATAATAATAGTAAAAAACAAACAATAGATGCATTCATAGGCATCAAGAATAAAAAACTCTTGTAGTATTCCTAGTAAAGAACATTACTAACATTAGTATAATGCCAAAAGGTTAGCAGGTATCTGATTATTTTGGAGTCAGGATTTGGAATAGGAGAGTTTTGAATGTGGATGTGGAGGAGAAATGACGAATTTTGATAGGGAGGGAATTCCACAAATTGATAGAGTGAGCAATAAAGGAGTTTTGGAATGAGGCAGATCTGTAAGAAGGGATGTTAAGGTCAGAAGGTCAAGATCTTGTTGAAAGACTGTACTGCTTCCTATGTCCCTATTATTGAAATTTTTTTTTTTTTTTTTTTTTTGTCTATTAAATATGTATTTGCGCCTGTCAACAATAAGTTAACAATCAGCAAATGTGATGGCGGTACTGATAAAATGACATGACAGGCATGGGGTAATTTAAATTTATATTCAAAGATAATTATATGTAGCAATATACCCTAGGATTTTATAATTCATGATCTATACCCTTCCATTTTTACGTGAAGATTTTATCACATTACCTGTGAAAATTTTGAAGCATCGGGGAATTCAGAGTTCATCTTACTACCTCAAACCATTAAATAAAAATGAATCAAAATTAATAATTTCTTTGTAAACATATTTTCTAATATATCTATTTTTTTCTGTCGGCATTATATACCTTGTAGATCTTTTTCCGCCTTAACAAGCCTACTCCATCTCTGCTTATCTTTGTTTATTTCTTTCCAGATGGATTTCTCAGAACTACATGCCCCGCCCATCTTAACCTCCTTGCCTTCATATTATGAGATATTGATTGACCAGTTTTTGTAAGCAGCTCCTTGTTGGTCTTTCTTTTCCATGCGTTTAATTTTATTTCATTCAATATTTCTCTAATATAGTTGCTTTATTAATAGGCAAAAATTAATTATTGTAATATGTTTTGTATTTTTTTAAATATCTAACAAATGGTGAGCGAGCGCCCCTGGGCAGTTGCCCCAGCTGCTCCACCTTAAGGCTGGCATTGGACATTTAGACTGCTTAAAAGCTGTCACATCTGCTACGATAATAAAAATTAGAAGTTATTTGTAAAGGAAAACTACACTATTAAAAATGGTAAACTGCAAGATCATGTAGCTGAATCATATATTTGTAATTTACATAAGTTAAAGATTACTAATACCATTATTATTCATTATCTAATCCTATTCTATGTTAAACATCTCATGTCGATAAGGTTAATTTTATTGTATTTTTTTTTCTATCACTAAATTAAGGATATTAGAGTGAGACTTTATAACTATCTATTTCATCCACAATGCTTTATTATTTTAACAAATTTGTTTATCATTTAAAGTGTATGAATTCAGAATTCGTTATAATTTTAATTTACTGTGCAATGGTTCTTTTTTCAGGATCATGACTTATCTAATGCACCCATTTCTCTTCAACAATTTTCCAAAATACTTAACAAATTTCTGGATATATTGCTTCAGAAAAATTTTTGGACCATCATACAAGATTTGTCATTCATTTTTGATTTAGTGTCTGTGATTGAATTTATGAAAGAATCTCCTCACGATTCTGTAAGAGCAGTGTCTTATTTATCAGGTAAAAGGGTCTTAATTGCAAAAAAACTCTTACTTTAACAAATGTATATAATTTCTCTCCAAAATTCTGTATCCTAAATCTTTTTTACTTTTCCGAAGCGTTTGATTCCGTCAATCATGAGATCTTCCTTTTCAAACTCCAAAACCTGCCCATATCAAATAGTGTCCTAAAATGGTTCCTCCTCTTCTTGTCCAATCGATCTCAGACTGTAGTTATTCCGAACAAACCTCCATTGTCTCCCCTTAAATTAACACGAGGTGTTCCTCCCTCTCTCCAACGCTTTTTTTTATTTATATTTGTGACCTTTCTGACTCCATTGAATTGAATGAAAAATGCTTTATTAAATATGCATAAATTATCTTCTTCTTTATCTTCCTCTTCGTGCCATTACTAGTGTCGAGGAGCCTCTATCCAACGCAGCCATGCCTCTCAGTCTCTACTAAGCTGTCTCATTTTCTGGAGGGTTTTGCCTCTCTTCTCTCCAATCCGCTGCATATACTCCTGATAGGAAATTCTGAGGCGGCCCCTCGGCCTCCTCTCAGTGGGTCGAGCTTCCAAAATCTTCTGCGGGTCTCTCTCCTCCTCCATCCGACAAACGTGGGCAAATCACTTCAATTGTCAGTTTTCCAGTAGTGTCCTTAGCTCCGCCACCTCCAGGTCCTCTCTTATGTGTTCATTTCTGACTTATAAGAGAGGACCTGGAGGTGGCGGAGTTAAGGACACTATTGGAAAACCGACAGTTGAAGTGGTTTAAAATATAAATTATAAATCGGCATAAATTATAAATTTCCAAAATACACAGAACATTTATACGGCATGATTATTCGTCTACCAGAAGTTTTATATGTTTTACAGGTACAGTACAAATAAAGACTTTATGGCATTTACATATATATGAATAACTGACAAACAATAAAACAACTAATACAATATAAAATAATAAATATTTTGAATAATTTATGTCTAAGAAATGAAGGGAAATCATAAACAATAACATGAATAAAACTGACCACAAATAAATTAGATGGATCATTGTTTATGCTGGATGTAGCAAATTAAAACAATGTATCCACGCATGTCGAGCAAAACCGACAATTTTACGACATTCGTTCACAGAGCGGGCGTTTAGAAGAGAAATTACAATATCATTTCGAACCGGGCTAGTTCCAAGAAACTCGATACGAATTTGACCAAACATTGAACATTTAGCCAGAAAATGTAACAGGTCGGAAATTCCCTCTGCACCACAAACCGCAGATTCTGATCGTAAATAAATATTATTACATATTAAATATCGTGAATTTAGTTGAGATACCCAAATTGTATAATTTCAAAATCAAAGAGTTTCTAGAGATACTGTCAAACGCTGCTTTGAAATCTACAAAAAATTCAAAGATTTTTTGTCCTTTTTTAAGGAGTTTAATTGTTATAATATTTACCAAAACAAATAAATTGTCAATTGTTGAGTACCCTTGTCTAAAACCTGTTCGGTATTATATGAGAAGTTCATTCTCCATGACAAAAGTTTCCAAATGCTGCAAAAGAAGTAAAAATTTTCGCAGACTCATTCAAACATGATGTACCCTTATTATTATGAACATTATTGATATCACCACTTTTAAAAAGAGGAAATTATATAGATTTGGCAAAGGAAGCCGGAGCTTCGCCACTCTCATAAATTTGATTATAAAGAGAAAGATGCTTACCCAAAAATACAATGGGTGCATGTTTGTAAAACTCATATAACATTCTATCAATGCCCGGCGCCTTGATATTCTTTAAATTACTAATCACAATTTGCTATAAAATCACTTAAATTAAAAGGAAGCTTTAGAGAAGTTGAATCAACTTGTGGTTCAGCATATAATACAAGTCCACCATTACCAGGAGGGTTAAGTAAGTTTTGAAAATGGGAAACTAATTTGTGGAGATCGATATTACCAAAAGCAAAATTTCTTCGCTTAAAATGTTTAATCAAGTGACAAAATTCCTTAGAATCGTTTACATTTTTAAATCATTCGATTACCATATTAAGATGTTCCTTTTTCTTTTTTAAACATAAATCCTTATAAGCCCTGTTAGCTTCCACATAATTATGCTTGACAATAGTGGATCTAGTTCGACAAAAAAGATTCAACAAGGCAAACTACTTATTTATGGACGAGGCACTGTCCATCAAACTACATATTTTTCAGGATGTTTCTAATGTATGGAGAATATTTACTATATGAAAGAGAAGAGCTTCTAATACAATCAATTAATATGCTTAAAACTCTTTCAGGGTTAGGATGAAATTATGAAATTTCTTCAATCTCTAATTTTAAGGAATTTTTATAAATATTTGTATATTTATCCATCCAAACCAACTGTGGCAAAAGGGGTAGAAAATTACATTCTGGAGTGTCTATAAATGAGATCTCACAAAAAAACGGCCGTGGTTTTATACCTTACCGCGTAACCAAATTATAAAGTTTATGTACTCAGAGCAAAATCAACTTTTTTCAATTTATTAAAAAATGAATGTTTTGCTTTGATGCACCGTTTAGGAGTAATAGGTGAAAAAACAAAAAAATCTGACTTTCGGCTGTAAAAAGTTTTCCCTTCGTGGCCCACGTTAGCAATTTTGTTTTTTACTTGTCTATACTCATATATACAAGTTAAAAAAATTAAAACTTTTCTCACATTTTTCGCAATGGATTTCCCGTTTCAATCCTCAAATTATTGGCCTAATATCATTTAAATCAGCATCCATTTTCGAAAACAACGTCTCTGGAACGGCAGACAAGGTTCTTTTTACTCAGAATAATATACACTTTTTTAATTTAGAATCAAACCTTCGTCTGCGATCAGGTCGATTTTTGGGCCCTGGCTCCAGTACTACTTATTTACCTCAATAATTGTCCCATCTATTTCTTTCCAACAGTCAAAAATCTTGGAGTGATCTTAGATCAGAACCTCTCTTGGAACTACCACATTTCCCAGATTACCCATAAATCCATAACTATCCTTAAACAATTCCTTTGATTCCGTGATTCCATTAAAAAAAAAAACCAGACAGCTCCTTGTATCATACCTTGTTTTCCCCCACTTTGACTACGGCTGCTTGGTGTATGGAGGGCTGTCCACAGGACTGGAGGCGAGACTGAATAAACTTCTGAATTGCTTTATAAGATTCATCTTTGGAATTCCCGAGCGTTTTCATGTTTCCTGTTGGTAAACCAAGTTGAAGTGGCTTTATCCTACTTCCGTCATTCCTTCTTGATGTTTTCCTTTTCCTTCAAATCAAGTCCTCAGAACCAAAAACCCTCCCTACATCTTAGAACTCCTTATTTTACGCTCCTCTATCCACTCTCTCAACCTATAGATTTATATTTCCCCTCCCATAAAACCACTTCCTTCAGTAAATCCTTTGTCATTGGTGCTATCTTCTTCTGGAACTCCTTATCCATCTCCATACGTCAAACTATGTCCATAAACTCCTTCAAACAACTCCTATTCCACCACCTAGTACAAATTCAAACTTCTGCAAGCTTGTAAGAATATCTGTGTTATATAATTATGTTGGTCACCAGCAGTTAATTGATAGGAGCCATTTTATTTTTATTTATTCAATTTTTTTTTCTCTCAGTATTTCTTGTATATATTTGTATTTTTGCTTAGTTTTTTATAGATATTTATGTATTCCTTAGTATCTTTACACACACATATATATATATATATATATATATATATATATATATATATACATACACTAACAGGCAAAAAATTCCACCCACTTGATTTTTCCATGTTTTCATCTAAAAATATTTCTGTAAAGTTGTATTTGTATATAATACATGGTATTTGTAAATAATACTTAGTATTTATGGAATTTTATAATCTTTTTTACCTTTAATAATCAAAATGTGATTGGGTAAGAAAGATTAGAGAAAAAAAAATTGAAAAACGAACCTTTATTATTCTAAAAGAAATTAATTACATCATCGTTTAGTAGCGTGTGTTTCCTCCTCTTGCCTTCACTACTTCTTGAAGACGCCTCGGCATACTTTCCACCAGTCGGAAAATGTCCCTTTGCTGGAGGATAGCCCATTCCTCCCGAAGAGCCCTTTCAAGGTCCTGCAGTGTATCAGGAAGTGTTGCACGCGCTCTTATTCGTCTTCCGAGGTTATCCCATAAATGCTCAATGGGGTTCAAATCTGGAGAACGTGCTGGTCAGGCTAAAACCTCAATATTGTTCTGTTGAAGGAATGTCTGCGCTATGCGGGCGACATGTGGGCATGCATTAGAATAGAACGATCGCCGATTTCGTTGAGGATAGGCAACACATGAGGTTCCAAAATCTCATCTACATAGCGAATGGCCGTCAAAGACCCTCTACAAACAACAACCAATTCTGTGCGACGGTCCATTGAAATCCCAGCCCACACCATTAAGGAACCACGTTGGAAAGGTTGGCTCTGGGAAAAATTACAGGCTGCATATCTTTCGTTTCTTCTTCTCCACACCCTTTCACGCCTGTCTGGAGATTGCAGAGCGGATCTTGACTCATCTGTAAAAAGTACAGCACTCTATTCGTCCATAGTCCAATGGCTGTGTTCTCGAGCAAAAGTCAGCCGTGTTACTCTGTGAGTTCTGGTCAACACTGGTCCTCTTACTGGATGAAAAGCCATTAATCCGTACTCATTTAATCTTCTCTGAGCGGTATGTTCAGAAATTTGCATACCTCGAACTTCATCGAGCTGATGAATCGCTTGAACAATGGTAAGGTGCCCCGGTCATCCCGTGGTTCTGTTACCCTAGGCCATCCAGGATCGGGCCTTCTATTGTAAGAACCAGTTTCCCGAAAACGCCTGACGGCGTCTCGTAAAGTTTCATATGGAACTCCGATGGCATTAACTGTATATCTAATGGAACGTCCATCGTCAATAAGTGCCACACCATGCGTAACATCCTCAACACTAGGAGACTAAGAAATGTGCTGCAAGAAACGGCACTGAACT